CATCTTTAGCCTGATTTTATAAATTCGATAAAAATCATGAACATGTTAAAAAGGCCATCTTCAAAGGCAATACTCCCAAATACTTCAATCTGCTTTTCTATATTTCTAAGTTCCTATGCTGCGTAGGTTACTTCTATCAAAAGAAATACACTTTGTTTAAAAACTGCACTCTTTTAACCTTCAACCTAAGCTAATTTGCATGCTTGATTTTCTTAGAACCCTGAAGCTTTTATCTCTACTGTATTCAACCGAATAGTAGGTACTTTAGATTTTTGCTTCAATGTTGATGCTAATACAGACTTTTAAACTACCATCAAACAGAACAGGATCTAGTGACTGTCTATGTAGGAGACAGGGACAGAATACCCGGAAGATATTTTATAATAATATGCAGGGCCACGTGTATACAGGAGTTTAGATTCTCCTGCAAAAATGACATCTACAGAGGTGCTGCTAATAGCCAAGTGCACCCTTGTGTGTGCGTATGTGTGTGTAGGATAACTTAATGTTTTCCAACGATAGCAAAATTTCACACGTACGTAAGGAGTGAGTGGGGCTGTGTCTTATCCCAGTTTTGCTGAGTATCCCTTGTGGTTGCTTCTCTCCCCTGCCCTCCAATCTGAGTGGCCAAACCCACAAAGCTACCTGCTTCAGGGACCATGGCAAAGGGGACATGAAGAGTGCACAGTGCTGTGGTGTGTGCCCTGGTGTCAGTGAGTGGGCAGGTGAGAGTGTGGGCTTAGGGAGCCAGGTTCACTGTGTGCCCTGCTGGCTCTGGAAAGAGCTGGGCTTCTAAGGGCCTGACAGATATGACTGTTGACCCTGACAATGATATACTCACTCAAATTATTTTGTCTTCTCAAGGAAAGGCATCTTTTCCTGATTCCAATGTTCCCCACTCCAATGAGATTACGGCCCTTATGGCTATGGTACTTTTAAGCATAGCAGAACTTACTGTTAGTAGTAAAGATGACGGCCCCCTCCTGGGGTGTGGAGTCTGTATCCTGGACCACCTGCAAGGCTCCCACAGTCCGCACAGCAGGGTCCAAAGTGACTGAACTTTCATTTACTGTTGTGTCGCTGGCACCTGTGATCTGGTTAGTTGGTGGCCCTCCCAGTGAGCCCTCGAAGTCAGTGGGCAAGTCGTCCATGCAGTCGGCGTTGGGCTGAAGGGAGGAGAAAAGGACACATCATCAGCTTGAGATGAAATGTGTTTTTAGTGCACATCATCAGCTTGAGGAGAAAAGGACACATCATCAGCTTGAGATAAAATTTGTTTTTAGTGCACATCATCAGCTTGAGATGAAATGTGGACAGCCTAAATATTTTGTCTCAGTAAAAACTAAGTACTGTATACTTCTGAGACACTTTATTTAAAAAAGATTCCAAGTAATAGTTTATGTAACATCAATGTGACAAGATCTCCCCAAATTTTCTTTCCAAAAGTTCCCTTTATGTCTAGGTATAAATTTTTAATTCCAGGAGTAGTAACATCTTTACATTTAAATAATTACTTAGGGGGAATACATGGTTTTTATTTATTTAGATAGCCTTTCCTCACATGGAGTGTTTATACTCCAGCCTGATGATTATCCACAAACACTCATGCATTATTTAAAAATATACTAAAGTTATGAGAGTGGGAGGGTGATAGATTTTGAGTCAATATAAACTTTCATTAAAGATACACACATACGGCTCGGCACCTATAGCTCAACCGGCTAAGGCGCCAGCCACGTACACCTAAGCTGGCGGGTTCGAATCCCCAGCCCGGACCCGCCAAACAACAATGACGGCTGCAACC